ACTCTTTCTCTTCTTCTGTACTGCTCAGGTTTATATTTGTTTATACGAGTTGATGTCTTGTAGCATTACTTTTTGTTGGTTACTTTAGCTGATTTTATTCGAATGTACAATGTAGTTGGCAACTTTGATGATTTATACCAGTAATTTCACAAAATCAGTGCTTTTTTTTTCCTTTACATTTTTTTTTTTCTTTCTCTGGCTGAACTGCTGCTACCTCGCGCAAAATTCTGTAGTAACGGTTGAGATACTTGCTGACAACCCAATTCAGTAAGGTTGTCTACTTATCCTTACATTGTAAGATCCTTTCATTTATCCATGTGGAATATGACATTTGATGGGGGTTTAGCCTTATTGTTGTCATCAGATGTAGTTCTCTCGATACTTTCTTAAAGTTTATATTTTGTAAATTCGATCTTAATTTTTTTTGCTTCTACTTAAGGCATCTCCAACCCACGTCAAAATGGTACAAAAAACACCAAATGCCAACCCACCTAAACACTGCACCATTTGGTGCAGTGCTACTGTACAAAAAAATTTTTTTTTTAATTGTGGTTTTTTTTTTTTAATTTTGTTAAGTTTTTGGGTATTAAATTTTACACCAAAAATCACACCAAATTTGAGTATTTGTATTTAATTTAATTTGATTATTATTTATAATAATGATTATTTAAAAAATGTTGAAAAATAAAAATAGAACTTTATTCAATGCAAATATAAACTACAATAACTCAAAATAAAATTACACTATTTAAAAAACACTAAAATTAAAAGAAAATCAACATAAACTAAAATAACAATTTATATCCGGTAGATTAGTTCCGGATCCAGTAAGTCATCAAAATATTGAAAAACTTGAATAGACAACACATCTTTTTTTTTTGTATCATTTTATATTAGATGTAATGTTTTTCTATATGTTTTTCTTATTAAATTAATGTTTATTTGATTAAATAAATGCTTAATTCTATTAAATTAGTATAATTTTCAAATATTATTATTTCATAAATATCATTCCATATTTAATTTATATACAAAAATAATGAGTGAAATAGATTAATTGTTGATTCAATAAAAGAAAAAAAGAATATTCTAAGAATATTCTTTTTGATACAATATTTGGTGTTTGGGTTGGAGATGGAATAGTATTTTGCACCAAATTTACACCAATTTGGTGCAATGGGTTGGAGATGGTCTAAGTATTTTCATATGCTACAAGGCTTTGTTCTGTGCAAAACTCGGTTCTGCTTGCCCTTTCACTTGGTAATTATCTGGATGCCCTGTTTGGATATTTATGTTAGAAGGAAGGTCAGAAATGAAACAACAGGAGATTGAATTTGCCAAACAGATATATTCTCATTGTAGTTCAATTTTTGTTCACGGTCAGTTTCTGATTCTGAATTTGTGTTGTCGTCTGTAGGTTCCGATCAAATCTGTTCCGGAAAATTACTGGCTTAAACTGAGAGTGAGTTGAATATACTAATGCTTAATTCGAACAACTCAGAGTGTTTGTTTGGCGTGGTTTATTTATAAAATATTTTTTTATTCTTTGTTTGGTTAAATTGTTTTTAGTAGTTCTTTATTGGTATTTTACATTCAATCACCCAAATAACAACATTTTTTTATTTTTAAGAAAAAAGGTTTGAACTTGATAAACTTTTTTAACTACAAAAAAGTTGAAGCTGGTTTAAGAGTATATTGGTAAATATGAAAAACATAAAGATCTTGTTAATAGGTGTACTACTTTTAATTTGATCTATCCTATCCAACTTTTTTGACCATTTTTCAGCCATGGATTTAATACGATCGATGTGTAACATTTGTTGAGGTGGTAAATTTAATAACCATCTTCAATCTCTTTCTGACTCCATACGGTTGAAAAATTGTGTCTTAATTTATGTTGAATTTTAAGTTAAAAATCCCTCTCCTTTATAAAAGGTGGAACTATAACTATTTGCATTATCATAATGATTTGGAAACTGATAATTTGTACCCAATTTTTGTATTGATCGAATGCACATCTAGTCATACATGATCATGTTGAAGATAACACATGTCTTCTGTAAATGACCGACCGTTTAACAATAATAAACACTGTTTTATCACAAATATGAACATCCACGAAAATAACACTGAACTCCTGTCTATATTATTTAGACGGGACTTATTTGATGTCCACCTCTTTTGAACGCGTCCATCAATTTTAAAAATGAAATAATAACGGCGTCCATCTCTTTTAGATATTGACCATAAAACCAAAAACAACAAAGACACAAAAAACAAAAAACAAAAGTTTCTTCACCTTACCATGTAGTAGCATGGCAATGCAGGAAAGACTTCCTCTCCATTTGCTCACCCTAAACTCTGTTTTCCCTCCACCCACCATGATTTTCTCTCCTTTTCTCGCCCAGAAACCTTCATTTTCCCTCATTTTCATCCAAAACAATCACGCCCTCTTCCACTTATATCCCCCAAAATCACACAAATTGAAGAGCCTAAAGTGGGGCTATTTTTCCGTCATTTTCTCACAAACCCCTATCCAGAGAGAAGAGCCGATTTTTGTGTTGGAGTAAGAAGCCTCTCTTTCTCTCTCTCAAATTCAACTCTTAACATGAAGGCAGAGCAAGACCCTGTAACTCATCTAGAGGAGATGTTGAACCAGCTACAACAGCCAAGAAGAAGAACAAGAAAAGAAAGAGAGACAAACCACCCAGCTTAACAACAATGGCTCAAGAGGCAGAGAGGGTGACCGCAAAAGTTGAGCTCATTCCTGACCAACCTAACAAAACTCCACCTCTAGTTGGCTATTTCCCATCTGTGTTCAGCCCTCAGAGCGGGGAGTAAAGGAGAGGGGGAAACGACAACAAGGGTTAGAGTGTATAGAAATGTTATGTCTGGGAAATCAAAGGCTGACATGGGAAATCACGTGATGGAGTGTGACCTGCTCCTGTCAGAACGGTAAGCGCACGTCAGGCCTGCCAAACGCTGTGGAGCTTCCACGTGTCCATTCCCTGCTCCAAATCCCGTGAAATCAGCTTGGAAGGTGGGCAATGTGACGTAAAGCCGGATTTAGTCCTGACATTCACACCAACCCACGGATTTAATGATGATTATTTGCACTCATCTCACTATAAAAAGGGGAAGACCCCTTCATTAAGGGGATTCGACCATTTTACACTCTGAATTAGCTTTTTCTCTCTCTCTTGTAGCTTTGTATTTACTTTTCCCGAATCATTTGTAAGTCAGTCCGCTGTTGCGACTTGACCCACAATACTAATACAATTATCAGTGGACGTAAGACTTGCTACCTTAGCATCCGAACCACTTTAAAAAGCTCTCATTGCATTTACTCTACATTTTATCCATAATCACGTGTGTCTCTTGACCAATCAACATTACGCACGTGTCGATTAGTTGATGTAAAAAATCAAGTATCAACAAGAAACATGAATGAGATGAAGCAAAAGACGGGGAGGTTGGAGTTGGTGGTGAGTCGTGCTAAGTCAAGTGTGGGGTTTGTGGTGACTACCTATGCTGGTGAAGCTATGGCACCATAGTTTTTTCAGTATGCTCTTGGGGTTATTGATAAGGAGAGCTAGACTTTGAAGATTGTACCTATCAACAAAGCTACGGACACCAAAAATTTTGCACCAAAAATGTGTATCAGCCTACGTGTACCTTTGACTCATACCAACAGTCCAACAACAAAGTTACGGACATCGAAAATTTTACACCGAAAATGTGTACCGGCCTACGTGTACCCTTGACTCACACCAACAATCCAGACACCTGATTTTTCTATAAATATTTTTTTAGTGAAGTTCACTCACATGGACCCCTGTCCATATTATATGGACGAGGGTCCATATACGATGGACTGGCGTCCCTATTTAAAGGATGCCCGTCCATAAATAAAATGCAATAAAAAAATTTATAAACATTAGGGACGGTCGTTCATCCGTTATGGACGGCCGTCCCTTCATTTTGGATGGACGTCTACAAATAAGGGACGTCCGTCCTTAACCAAAATATGAAAATAAAATTAAAAAAAACTTTGGGGACGGCTGTCCATAAATTTTGGACAGCCGTCCCTTACGTTTGGTCGGGCATCCATTCTCCTACTTTAAAAAAAAAAAATTCTAAACAAACTTCGCTCTTCTTCTTCGTCTTCATTCCCCATCTCCTCTCTTTTTCTTCGTCTTCATTCCCCATCTCCTCTCTTCTTCTTCGTCTTTCTTTTATGAGATAGACGTGCCAAATCCAAAGGCTCCAAAGCCCAGAAAACTACAGAAGCAAAATAGGGAGAGCCTAGAAAACTACAGAAGCAAAGCTCGTAGGTTGCCTTCCTTTCCGCTTGACCACCTCTTGACATCAGCATCCAGTGTTTCAGCTAGTCTCTGCAAACGGAAATAAATTGAAGACAATAAGCAAAATATGGCACTAGTTCAGAGCTTGAGAAATATTTTTTAGTGGAGTGAAGGTTTTACATTTCTTTCAGCTTGCTTTCTTTGAGCAAGATCACGCATATTCTTCTCTGCAAGAGCTTTTGCCTACAAAAACACCAGAAGCAAGAAGTTTGTAAGAAATGGAGAAGGCATTCACAAATTTTAATAAAATTATAAGTCATACAGCACGTTCAGCTGTACGGCGATGCCTTTCTAGTCTAGCTTTACATCTCTGAGCTGTTTCACCTTCAGTCCCTTCAGATCTCTCAGTATTATATGAAGCTTCAAGTAGAAAAGATAAATGGTTAGAAGCAACAAGCAAAAGATAACAAAAATTTTAAAATATTCATTCACTTAAATATCCCATCTACAAGAAACCAACACCTGGTACTTCAAAGATTACATACCAACATAAGCTGAGGAATATGGATATCTTAAACCACTAAAGTTGGCACTCTGATATTTCTGATCCTGTAGATCCTGCCATTTTCCATCAGTTAAAACACTGCCATGACTATGCATGCTACAAAACATCAATTAAGTATATACTCACATTGGATGAAATTGGTCTCAGTGTACTGTTTCTGGAAGAAGCAGATAACTTATCTAGAAAAGTTCCACGTTCCTACTAGGTTAAACATTGCATCGGTTTACCCAAAAATACAGTTAAAAGATAATGTTGCAGGTGGCTTCCCCTTTCTACAAAGGTATCTTCAATTTATACCACAAATGAAAATAAGGGAGTTAGTATTACCAGATCTCATGAGGTTCCTGGAAAATCTAGTACAGATGGGACATCATCAGGTGCTGGGAAAAGTGGAAGTCTATCTCTAGATGCTTTAGCCAAAGCTAAGAAAGCTTTACAAATGCAGAAGGAATTGTCAGAAAAGCTGAAGAAGATACCATTGGTAAGAAGAATCTGCACTGTTAAGAAAGTTGTTTCTTTCCTCTTCTCTCATGTGGTCAATTTTATGTTTGCTTAGTAATATGTATTCCTTGGTAGACACTGAATGCTGCTTTTCATTTTTTTAGTTGAACAAAGGCACAAGTTCAGATGGTAGCTCAGTCTCTGGATTGAAAGACAGAGAGAAAGTGCCATCCTCTGGTACTGGAATAATGCAGGGAACATGATCAACAACTGCAAATGCTTTATCATCTGGTGCAATGCCTAGTTCATCAAACTTACAAGCTGCCGCAACAGCTTCTGTGAAGCCACCTGCAAGTGGGGTGCCTACTATTCCTGGCCTTACTAATATACCCAACATTGAAGCTGTTAAACGTGCTCAAGAGCTCGCTGCTAAGATGGGCTTTCGTCAGGACCCTTAAATTTTTGGGTAAATAGGTGAAATGTTTAAGCTCTCCCTGTTTTGCTTATGTAGTTTTTTGGGCTTTGGAGCCTTTGGATTTGGCACGCCTATCTCATAAAACAAAGACGAAGAAGAAGAGAGGAGATGGGGAATGAAGACGAAGAAAAAGAGAGGAGATGGGGAATGAAGACGAAGAAGAAGAGGGAAGTTTGTTTAGAATTTTTTTTTTTTAAAAAGTATGGACGGCCGTCCCCAAAGATTTTTTTTTTTATTTTCATATTTTGGTTAAAGACGGGCGTCCCTTATTTACGGATGCCCGTCCAAAATGAAGAGATGGCCGTCTATAACGGATGAACGGCCGTCCCTAATGTTTATAAAAAAAATTTATTGTATTTTATTTATGGACAAACGTCCTTTAAATGGGGACGCCTGTCCATCGTATATGGACCCCCGTCCATATAGTATGGACGGGGGTCCATGTGAGTGAACGGCCGTCCATATTTGATGGACGGCCGTTCACTAAAAATATATTTATAGAAAAATCAGGTGTTTAGACTGTTGGTGTGAGTCAGGGGTACACATAGACCGGTACACATTCTTGGTGCAAAATTTTCGGTGTCCGTAGCTTTGTTGTTGTATATATTGCTTCTAATAAAGTAAAAAAAAAAATGAAAAATTGACATCAAGTTGAAAATTTTATGGAAAAGGTTCAATTTTTATGTAAAATATTTGAGTTCTCGGTTAGCTTCCGTAGATGGATGCCATCCATTATTTTATTTTTTAAATTTTATGGATGGTTGTCCGTATGATTTGGACACCGTCCATGTAAATGACTCCCGTCTAAATAATATAGACCCAATCCATTGTTGTTTTTGTGGACATCCGTCCATTTGTAATGAACGATCGTCCATCAAATATGTATGAACTTCCATAATTATTAGACGGTCGTTTATTCACGGAAAGCGTGTATTGTATCCAACGTAGTTAGGTCTGACTGGATGCCATGTACGTCGATACAAAACTTTGGTATAAATTATCGGTGTCCATAGCATTATTGATTTTACCATTAGAATTTTAGAAATAAAATTTTAACTAAATGCACCAAAAAAAATTGATATATTGCATACAAAAATCGTTAGAATATATTTTTAATTTAGAAATATTTACATTATCTTTAAAATTATGAAGATAAATGAATTAAAAATATTTTTTTAAATATTTAATAATGATGGTTTACATGGATGTGAATTGCTGAAAGGGTTTAAGTTTAACAAAGACAATTAAAAGTTAAAATTTTAAATAGCCCCTCTAAATTCGATTAGTTTAAGAGACCCAAAAGATAACCAGAACTTTCTTTATAGTACCCGTATTCTAACAACTCCATCCAAGCAAATACTAATGTACCCACCGGCCACCACCTGCAGTCATAAAGTCTCTGCAAATTCCACACTTTTTCACTCTAGTGCTTCGAAATTCGAAGATTTTTCGATTTTCTTCCTCAAAACAGGTAAAATTTTATGCATTATTGTTTCTTTTGAGTAGTTTTCTTGGCATTTTTGTTTATGAACCCTTTCATCTATACTATTGAATTGTTTATTTCTGTTTGTTATCTTCAATGTTTTAGGGTTTAGAAGCCTTTGAAGGTGGTAAGGATTGGACCCTTTGATTAATTTTCTTTATGGAACTCTGGTTATGTGCTTAAGAGATTATTGGAATTTGTTTTGTAAATTTATGTATTATTTTCATTCTTTCATTGCGTTTGATGATTCTGACTTCTGAGTATACCCATGTTTTTGTTTTTGGGAAAGAAATGAAATTATAAATGTTGAATAAATAATCTTTTTGGTTTCGTATGATGAAAACTTGATAATGTACCAATCAACACAACTCAATAGGCAATATTAACAACCACCAATACGAATAACTAAGCAAACCATACAAGTTATCCACGAATGAGACACAAAAATTAAATCAAGAATCAAGACTAGTAGAGCACTGTACTGGTATTGATCACTTGGAATGTGAGCTTAAACGGAGCTTGTTTGATCATCTAATGATAAAGTTGATTATCAAAGCCCTAAGGCCTGGTTCTTTATCTTTGGCTACTGTCTTTTTCTCTCCACTTTCTTTGTTCTTTTTCTTCACGTGTATTATACAACACTCCCTCGCTTCCTTTTTTATTTGATCTTTTATTTTGGTGTGAGCCTTTAACATATGTGGTGGCCTGCTAAGTTCCCCTTCCGCCTCTTGTGGTGAGCTCCATCATACACAATCTGCTTGTACTTTCAGGTTTTTCTTGGGCAATGGCTTTGTATCATATCTGGCTCTTTCTTAGTTGTATTAATCTTCTCAACCTGCCATATCTTTATCTCTGGCACAGCACTGATCCAATGATATCAAATCAATGTGCTTGGATTTTGAATTAAAAATATGCTGTCACAATACACAGCACGTTTTCCTGTTTCAAGCCCAATTCCCAAGGGATTTTTCTTATCCATTGCCTGTCTTTGCTAGCTTCATTCACCACAATATATGGTAGACTGATGCAAACCTCAATCTCCAACAGTTCACAACTCCAATAAATCACAATCCAATGATCTCAACACAGAATTCAGATAATGAAATTAGAAAATAAGTATTTGTATTAATTCACTCACAGTGATACAATATCAGTAATGCAAAAGAAACAGACTAAAGAACGTAATAACAGGTAAAGTTGCTAACAATTCGAGGAGTTAGCGGCCTCCCTCAGAGTTCCCTTTTTAACAAAATATGTATATCCCCTTTTTGAGCAGTCCTGCCCTATTTATATACACGTGAGCTTTTCCCAAGGTAACCAACCCCACAAGACACGTGTACTTATTCCTAACTAATTACCCTGGCCTCTGGTCACACTCTTCTCATGCCTTCTAGTCATGCTCTTCTCCCTTCTCCTCTGTCTCTGATAGCTTTTAGTAAGAGGTGGCCTATCATAGACAAAGCAACACACTTTTGTAGCTTAAATTTCCATGAACCCCTGCCAAGGTCATCCAATACCCTAGAGTAGATAGACTCAATATCGGCAGCTACAATTGCATCTTTTTAACTCTGAGATATCTAACGATCCTTTTAATTGCTAGCCGATGGTTTTTAAGATTAGAGAAAAGCTTTTGAAAAATCCTACGCCATGAGATGTATGGCCTTGAATTTACCATGATATATGTTGAATTACTGATTATTGATATATAAGGAACTCTACTTATTTATTCTTTTTCTTTCTCACCTGTAGGATATTGTTGTTTGCTAAGCCTGAAATGGTTCAATAGGGGATAACAACAAACTGATTATGCATTACTCATGTTGAATAATTTGTTGGGATGATTAATTGGGGTGATGTGATGAAAGTACAATTATACTTCATATTGCCTTCCTATTGAAGTATCCGTGAATTCTGGCTTTTCATTATATCATTTATATGTGTGCTTATTTGCTTCTGGGGTTGGTTTTTATTGTTGTCTTTTTAGTGATTTTGTTGCTCTTGGAATATCTCATTTATACCCTGGTGTTTTAAGCACCATCTGAGGTTGCCTGGGAAACAACTCTGGAGTATCTATCACATTTCACTTCATTGTTTGTGTATTTGTTCTTCTGTTAAAAAGAAAAAAGAATTTTAGTGTTCCTTATTATTCATGGTTAACATGCTACCTTTTTGGGAAAGTGCAATTTTAATTTTAATGTGTGATTGTGATTGTTTGATTCAGAAGTAGCAGAGCACTCGGCTTTCCTCTGTTTATAGATCTATGTGCACATGCAAAATTTGCCAATTCTGCTCTATGTTTACCAGTTCCAACTTTGAGTCATGGAGACTTGTTAGTTTATTCAAAATCTGAAACTCAGTAATGTTTTCTTTAATTGGATTTGAAAATAGGTCTCACTTTTCTCATGTTTTTACAGGGTTTATGGTGAACTTCTAAATGTTGGGGAGAAGCTTTGGGAGGAAACGTTACCATTACAAATGGGTACTCGATTGTACCAGCTTCTGGGGTTCAAATCAGATAATTGGTATGAAGTGAAGATATCATATCCAGCTTCTGTATGTGATTTTCTTTATGTATGTTTTGTTGCTCTTTGCTGCATTCTCAATTTGAGAACTTATTTCTGGTGTTCTGTATCTGCTTGCTTTTCATTGCAACTGAAGAAAGGCAACTTCAACTTGAGTTTGAATCAGAACAGAAGGTTATTGAATACTGAAAAGTTGATATTCAAGACTGATAGTCTTGATGTGCTCAATGTATATGACGAAGTTTGTGGATGCAATCTTGTATGTTTTATGAGATGATCTCAAAGTTTTGTCTTGTGCTCCGGGTGGAATATATGTTTTAGTGACTGTGGAGCCTGAGGGGACTGTTGCAATACCACTGCCACATGTACAAGAGAGGGTGTTTATCATTTTTAATATCGGTAATATTCAGTTAATTTATTCTATCATAAATTTGTGTTCCACTGTTGCATAAAAATTTGGTTAAGCTATCCGTATTTGCCCTTGACATATTTTAGAAATGGTGATCCGTCTCTCTCGTCATGTTCTGTGAAAGAAGTTCTAACACTTGGTATTTCTGTCATGATCCCATTTCAGCTTTTTATTCCATTATAATGATGCTGATTCTTTTATTTGCATCCTTAATGATGATTTCATAAGTAATCGTACACAATTCTACCAAAACTATAAGATCAATATGGCATGTCGAGGCTCCTAAAATGGTGAAAAAAAGTATTGCCACTCTGGACTAGCTTGTTATAATAGTTGAAAAGATCTAGGTTCCTTCATTCCAAATATGTTTTCAAGGAAAATTTTACTACGACTTTCACTGTAATTTATCAATAAAGAGACAAAAGTTATGTTTGTTTTCTCGGGCGATGTCCCTTCGATAACTCTTTCCCTTGCCATCTGACTGCGCTCCCTTTTACCTTCCTCCTGGATATAGCCTTTGTTTATCTTGTTTCTGTCACAGCACTTTGTGAAATGCTTTTGTTTTCCAATCTCCATTCATACTCTATGGTACCACGTAAATCACCATATCTTGAATTAATTAAATAGTTCTGTTCTTTTTGACAGTTAGCAATGAACTATTACTGGGCATCCCGTACAAAGCTTGTAGGTTGTTGTCTTCATGTTGATCAATTTGGTATCGGCGT